ATAAACATGGAACTGACAGACTTTTCGCTTGAAATGTAAACTTTAAACTTAAACTCATTCATTTGAGTATTGATACCAGCATTGCTACTGGTATTGATGTTGATTCCAAGCAGCGGGGCATTTTGTACGAGTACTTGTAAAAATGTTGGTATCATTGTAAAAACTGATGATGATCATGTTGTTGAGGCAGCAGAAAGACAGGGTGAGTTTGTGACATGAATCAGACTCAGAATGCCTTTGTCATTGTACCATGAACACAATAAAAGAACAAAGTGATGCATCATTTTCAAGAAACAAATACATTTGATTGGTTTTATTTTGTATAAAAATATAAATTATAGAGCGGGTTATGAATGCAAAATGTGTCATTTTCCCATAAAGCTCAGGACTGATTTGCTGTTAATTTTTTTTTCACTTTAGTTTAAATTTGAACTTAATGTAATGAATAGGGTTTTAAATCTAAATAGATCAAGTAAACAATTTTGTGTGCAGAACTGGAGATAAAGCAGTGATTAGTGTCATTATTGTTCTGTTAGAGAAATTACTCCAGTCAGGAGCAACAAAACTGAAAATATTGATTTAAAGTCAAAACATCAATATATATCACGTCCTCTTTTTTTATTCTTTCTTTTAATAAATGTGTGTATGTTTGCGAACTTCATTTTTTAAATTATGTTCATGTAAGAATGGATGATTGGTGAGCAGAAAAAATGATGATCTGGTCTATATTTGCAAGTGCTCACATTTCTTTTAAATTGACCTGTGTGTCTCCCATAATATACGCTGCAATTTAACAAAATGAGACAATTAAGACTAATTATTCTGCTCAGAGCCAGCAAACTGCATGAGTCACGCCAAATACATCTCTAAGAAACCAAAGATGAAAAGTAGCTCATGGAAAAGAAAAGGCAAGAGGTTATTGATTTGGCAATTCTTTCCCCCAGGTTTTTATAATTATTATTTCCATAGTTGGAAATCTAATTGGTTCAGAAATAGCCAGAATTTTTTTATGATGATTCTAGAATTTTTTTAATAAGATGAAGCAATTGGGCTTTTAGACGTGCAGTGTTCCAAGCTTTAAACTGCATCAATAATATCAATATCTGGTTCAATCCTCTACATTCACTGACATAAAATATGACGTGACCATTCAGACAGATGTATGGAAAGAAAAATCTTGGATTGGATTTGAAATAATTGATTTGTCACATTCACTGTTAGAAAAATTCCAATATAGATATATATTTGGAAAAAATGGATTTGGATCACTTTAGCTTGCTGTGTCTTTAGAATTTGTGTTTTGAACTTACATTTCACTTCCTGTTGTTTTTGTTTGTCAGTCTGATTCAGCAAAAAAAACGACTTGGTTAGAGCTGGGTGGGTATTGTTAACAACTTCTCAATTCAGTTAAATTACATATGCATTTTCTTGCCTAAATAAACAGAAAATGCTATACATTAACATTTTAGAGAAATAAAATGTCTGGAAATAAAGCAGTAGCACAATAATATTTGTTTCAAAATAGAGTGAAAATATAAAACCTGACAAACTCGGAGCTCAAAGTAAAAGAAAAATTCTGTRCCTGAAATTTTTTTGTGGTGGTGATGGGAATGAAATAACATTTTTACTGTGTCTGTGCAAAACCTTTACAGACATGAGGGATCACAGATCATCACCTCCCTTAATTTAGCTAAAATCCTGTGTAAAACTGAAAATAATAGATTTTCACATTAACTATGAATATCTGAAAATAACAGTCTCTTGGAGAAAACTTACATTTTTGGGGGCGTAGATGTAAAACAAGGCATACCTTGGCTGACTACATCTTGGTTTTGTCTTCTTTGTGGGATTAAACTGTTAAGGCACTTGGATTGGGACTGTAGAACATCAAACTCATGAGTTTTTCACAAAGCAGTTCTGCAACATGGTCTCAAAGATGAACCCCTCTTTATGATGTCCCTGGATGATTATAAATCCTCAATCGAGAAACAATGACTAACAAAATCTGAGTGTTGTGGAAACAAAAGAGGCACGGCTTGTAACTGATGATTTGATGCAAAAAAGTTTTCACAAAATCTGCATCGGACTAGGGTTGGGCATAATCGTATCGTCTGCAGTTAATCGTCAGAAAAACATTAATCGATGAAGTTTTAGCACTTGACGATTAATACGAACAATGCCACCAGGCAGACTGACTGGATATTTCCCCGGTCAGTCCACTCGGTGCTCCTCTCCACTTCAAATATGACGAACATTTAAACAAAAGTTCTGTAATTTATTTATCAACACAATTTAAAATTTTAAGTATAGCCTGAAGTCTGCGATTTTGACACAGTTTGAAAAAGATTTTTACGAAGAGCAAATATTTCCCACTAAATTGGTCATGTGACTAGGACATAAGGGTGTCCAGGGACTCCAGGGGATTAATTGTCATATTAATCGTTATCGGCTAAACACCACAATTAATGGTGATAAATTTTTTTGCCAACATCGCCCAACCCTACATCGGACATTGCAAATTAGATATTGTTGGCTGAGCACACAGATCATCTGTCGTCACTACATTAGACCCTTGAGTTGTGACGTTGACTTACTCTCACACATACCAAATATTTCAGCTCTGTGACTACCTCCCACAGTAGCTCAGAGGCGAGTTGACTCAAACATCCTCATGCTGCCTTGGTTACACAAATCACTCTGAGATCATGATGAGAAAGTGTCTCAGGTCTGGCCTGAAAGTGTTTTGTGAAGGGACTGTCAAACGTAACGATTTAGACACCCAGGAGAAAGTTGTAGAGTTTATTTTGTCATAAAACAGAACGACACCATGGATCGACTTGAGATTATAAGTTAATCAAAGGTCTGTTTCCTTGTAAAAACATTGGRCCACATGCAAGAACATGTTCATATTCTTATCCTAAATTTCTCTTTCGTTCTTATGAAGGGTTCGTACCAACATGCCATGTCAGATTCAACAAACTCTTCTATCTTAAGGAAATGTGTGTAAATGAGCTGCGTAAACTGATGAATGTGTATCAGCTGCTCGTACACGAGAAGAGGTGATTAGCATAATTACCACCCTAAAAACACCATACAAGGCTGTAGTTCCTGCCCCAAATACCAAGTGTTCATTCATAAATGACATTGCAAAGTAAAAAGAAGAACTTTACGAGTTCAGAGATTGAAGTCCTGCTCTCAGAGATCCAGAAAAGAAAACCTGTTTAGCAGCGTCAGCTGTGGAATTCATCTAGGACCTGCTAAAGCCGAGGAATTAATGATGACTGCTGTTAATGTCGTGTCTCCCATGGGTCATTAGTCACAGAAGTAAAAATCTAAATCATATTCATCTCTCTCTAGTCCTGCTCTGCTTTTCCTGTGGTCAAATATTTGTAAGTGAAGTGTAAACAGCTGTGATACATACTTTTCATTTATTCAGAAGAACAGCAGTCGCGCATCGCCGAAAATTGGTGAATGCCACAAATTCTCCTAAATCACTCGTACGCACAACTTAAGAACAACTTAAGAACTCGTACTTGGGGCAGCTGTGGCAGAGTGGTTAGGGGAGTTGTCCTGGAACCGGAAGGTTGCTGGTTCAATCCCCGTCCAGTTGACTCAGTCGTTGTGTCCTTGGGCAAGACACCTTACCCGCTTTGCCTACTGATGGTGGTCAGAGGGTCCGGTGGYGCCTGTGTATGGCAGCCTTGCTTCTGTCAGTGCGCCCCAGGACAACTGTGGCTACAKTGTAGTTTGCCACCATCAGTGTGTGAATGTGAGTGTGAATGGGTGAATGTCTGTAGTGTGAAGCGCTTTGAGTGTCCTGGATGGATAGAAAGGTGCTATATAAGTACAGTCCATTTACCATTTACCAACAAATTTGTTCATACGAACGGTTTTCTCATGACGCCCATTGTTTTAAGTAGTGTGTACCATCAGTGCTGGGTCAGGTTTTAGACTTAATTGCTTTAGTTTTTGTTTTGCCATGTTTTTGAGTAACATGTAGATAGAGCTGCCTTTTTGTTCTCTGTCTACTTTTAATCTATTTAAACTTTTTTAAATTTATAACAGCGCAAAAGTAAGGAAATTTTTTGGTATATTATTTGTTGTAACAGTGCTTTTTAACGTCTTACACCATTGAAAAGCCTGTTAATTTAGCTTTTAAATGCTGCCACATTTGTAATTGATGGGWTGAGCAGTAGGACTGCAACAATTAGTCGACATAATCGACATTGTTATAAAAATTAAACTTAGAATTTTTATGTTAAAGTTTATTTTCAATGTCCATCACTAAGCTCATAAAAGGGATTACTAAGGATGTTTTCATACCTGTTGGTTTTAGTCAGTTTAAGCTGAACCCCCCAATGTGGTTCATTTGTGAACACTATAACTAGTAACCATACCATTTGAAGGATGTGGTCTTGGTACGATTTCACAACCAGTTTTGTTGAACTTATATGTAACAGAATGATTAAATAAAGGAAATTCCTTGTTTCTTTACAGTCTAATATACTGAAACATTCAGTGGCATCTGGTTTTCGGAGTGACACTTAATGGAATTTGCAGACACATTTAAGCCATAAGCACTAAATTGTGTCAGAAACACTTTGCAACCAAAGCCTGAGATCAAATATTTAATGTTTGCGTAATTTAAATCAGTTTAAAAAGACAGTAGATTGTGAATAGATTCAGATAACAAAGGTTGAATGTGTAGTTTTCCTCAGATTAGGAACCATCCAATAAACTTGTGTTGACATGTCAGTCCTGTGAGTTAACCTGAAACGTTTTTGTCACCAGCTTGAGTAAAGTTCATTTTGAACCGCCTGGCTTGCTGTGGAAAGTACAAACACGAACTCGCCCCTAATCGAGCACAGCCCCACAGAGCTGTGTCAGAGTGGGCGGTTTGGGCGCGCATCGTTCTGTAGTGCCGTGTTTACTCCTGATGGTTTGTTTGTGGTTAATAAGCATCCCACTTACATTTTCGTCTCGCTTTGTTGTCTTTGCAGGAAGTTCGGGGAGCGCCCTCAGCCACAGCGCCTAACGAGGTGAGTGTGCACTGCATTTATTTTAATCACAGCAGTGTGATTGGTTTATATGTGAATCAGTGTTGAGAAAATGACTTTGTAGWATAAAATACACATTGTGCATTATTTCTGCTTGTTTATTTCCATGGCTGYAAAATCACACTTTTTTATTTCTAGATTTCTTTATTTCATTTAATCCATTAAAGAGTTAAATTCTTGTGATGACCTCAGGCTTTGGAGCAAATCAAGTTATAAATGTATTTTCAAACACCGCAGAGTAAATGTGTTGGTTGGCCACAGTGTAGCTGATACAGTTACATGCTGAGCTGATTGTCCTTACATTGCTTTCACTTTTGGCCTAGTTTTGTCMATTGGTCCCAGATGTATTGCATTATATTTGTTCGGCTGTTATTGATTACCTAGTTCATTGATTTGTGTTTTAATAAGTTTGTGTTGAAACCAGATCTGATTATCACAGTTGTTTTTGGAGTAACGAGGCGTAGAAGCAACGATTCATCTTATCCAGACAGACTAGGAGTCCAAAAGTGCCTTTTTTTTTACTCCTCACTGAGTCACGTTATCGTAGATTTGACAAGCCATTATCCAAGTTTTTTTAATTCTCTTTTCCAAGTTGATGCAGGGATGCACCTGTTAGAGAGTGACGAGAATTGAGCGAGTTTTCAGTTTGATTGGTGACTTACTCAAAAATCACATTTCCTTTTCCTGTCCACGCATCATTACTAAGTGGCCAATTTAYACTAGTTGTAAGGTTTTACCAAGTATGACAAAAGACTCAAAAGTTTTAAAAGTAGTGCAAAAGAACAGAGGAAGCGGGAAGCAGCGTGGCTGAGAGCGCAAATGAAGAGGGGGAAAAAAAACTTATCCAGACCTGGTTCGGGACATGAAAGCGCCCGCTGAGCAGCAGGAGGAGAGGAGAGCGGAAAAAGTTCAAAACTTATTTCTAGCGGCAGAACAGGTTAAATGTTATTTATTGTTTTTTAAATCATCCTATAGGCTC